TCGTTTGGCCTCGTCTTATTATACTCATATTGGATGAGATAATTTGTTAAATGCCTATGCATATGTATGGCGTTGGCGGTCGCTGTGGCTGAGTGGCTAGAGGTGCGTGCTATCACTCCGTAGGAAATGGGTTCGATCCCTGGTCCCGGCAGTCAATGGAAAAGCTTCGAGTGCACTTTCGCCATGAAAAACCAACATTTGGTCTTCGGTGGGTGGCGTAAAACTTAGGCTTCTTCCATTTGTGTGACAACAATAACAGCATAGACAGACGGCAGCGTTGTTACCGGTCAACTCGAGTTATTTCGAAATTATATCGAGAATTAACTGCATGCCGATTAAGTGCTATAGTTAATTTTCAAACCTTGTATTCAGTAAGTCAGTCTCATCTCAATTAACTACATTGGGAATATAAATTCGTGACTATTTTTGGTAATTTGAGACGATTTAGGTATTCAGTAAGAGAAAGACACAAAAATTTCTAAACGGTGATGAATAAGTAGATATGTATGTATACTAGGGCGGGTCAATGTTATTTGACCATGAGCGTATAGCATAGCAGCATTCTACGTGTATTTCTAAGCACATTTACCGAAGAAACCATTTTTCTAAAATCTATTTGGAGTTTGCCAAATTGTGAAAATAGGTTTCGAAGAAAAAGTGAAAATTTTCACTGGCGCCGCCTCTGGTGGAGGTTTTAAGAAAAAGGTAAGTGCAGAAAGGAATTCCTCATAACAAAAAACCTCTTATAGAATGTGTTTTTATACCCGAGCGCACTTGTGCACAAGGGTATATTAATTTTGTTCACATAACGGTTGTTTGTAACAGCCAAAACGAATCGAGATAGATATAGACAAATGTATACATAAATGATCAGAATGAAAAGAGAAATCGATTAAGCCATGTCCGTCTGTCCGTCCGACCATGTACACGATAACTCGAGCAAAAATTGAGATATCTCAACGAAATTTTGTATGTAGGTTTCCATTTATCCAAGGTAGGTTGGTATTGAAAATGGGCGAAATCGGACTGTAACCACGCCCACTTCCCATATAACGGTAATTTTCAGAAATACGAAAACTGCGATATTTTAGTAACTACTAGAGATTATTCACTCAAAATTGATATTTACAATAAGTTTAAGACGGAAAATAAGAATATTATAAATTTTTGGAAAATGGGCGTAGCCACGCCCACTTATGGTTACATGTATATATCTTGGCAACCGCTGCACCAATTTCTTCCAAACTTGGCACAGTTGTTGGCCTTCGTACAACATACCAAACGGCCGAAAATTTTTAAAATCGGACAATAACCACGCTCACTTCCCATATAACGGTAATTTTCAAAAATAAGAAAACTGCGATATTTTAGTAACTACTGGAGATTATTTACTCAAAATTGATATTTACAATAAGTTTTAGACGAAAAATAAGAATATTGTACATTTTCGGAAAATGGGCGTAGCCACGCCCACTTATGGTTACATGTATATATCTTGGTAACCGCTGCACCAATTTCTTCCAACCTTGGCACAGTTGTTGGCCTTCGCACAGCATACCAAATGGCTGAAAATTTTTAAAATCGGACAATAACCACGCCCACATCCCATATAACGGTAATTTAGAGAAATACAAAATCTTCGATAAATCAGTAAATATTAAAGCTAATTTATTCAAACTTGATGCTTGCAACAATCCTTAACCAAGAAATACGTTTGTGATAAAATTTTGGAAAATGGACGTGGCACCGCCCACTTATGATCACATATATGTATCTCGGTAACCGTTCTACCAATTTGTACCAAACTCGGTATGGTTATTGTGCTTGCCACATAAAAGCAAAACGTTGAAAATTATTGAAAGCGGACTAAAATTGAGGCCGCTTTACATATAACGATAAATTTCAGAACTGCTTGAAACTTCAAAATTTCGAAATCTAAGGACTCTAATTTACTCAAAATTGATACGCCCCTGCTTACCATGTAGCGGTAGCTTTCGGTAAGGTGAAAAACATATATTTAATACGTGTGCCGGGTATTTAATGTTCGGCTCCGCCCGAACTTAGACTTTCTTTCTTGTTTTTTACAAAATTTAAGCACTTCTTTATAACACTACAGCTAAATGTTAATAAACTTATTTTCGCAATTTGGCAAACTCCAAATCAATTTTAGACCCATGGTTTTTTCGGCCTATTTGCTTAGAATTTCACGTAGAATCTTAAAAAATTAATGACTTTTTTGAATACTTTACTGAATATCTAACAGTCTAAAAATCGATGCTCATCACGAAAATACTATTACTGACTAGAGACTGTGAATGTGCTACCGTCGACGAGGTAGATGTCCAGGTTGGTTTTGCATATTCTCTTTACTCGTAAGCTCTCTGCGTCTTCGTCAGTGTTTTCATAGCATTTATGCCGATATTCAGTAAACAGTCTCTAGTCACTAATAGTGTATTTTCATAGTGAACATCGATGTTGAGATTTTGAGATTTGTATTCAGTAAGCTGTCTCACGTCTCTAGCCCAGGGCTGCCATAAGTCTGAACCCATCGACCAGCACACTAATCGGGCCAATTAGAAACGAAGATACAAGTGAATATGGTGCAAATATATTCCTTATAAGTACAGTTGCTTTGGTTTCGGCATTTCATTGTTTTGAAGAAATTTCTGATATTATAAGCAATGCAGTTTTGTGGCATAATCCGTAATAGGCGACATACTCGGTGCGTCTGACTCGCGAGTCGTTTGTGTACGTGTTGACTCGCCTTCGACTACACACAGTTGAATCATTCAGAGTCATTCCAGGAGTCATGTCGGTGTAACTAAGAGATATTTAAAAAAAGACTTAGCCAATAAATGCTAAAAAGGGGGTTTCCCTGCTGCCCCCTAGAAAGGGTTTTCCTATTTACAATTTACGCGAATGTACATAAGTATACATATATTATTTAGCATTAAAAATTAAATTCAATAAGCGTTTTAAGCCTCAATAAAGAATACTGCTACCTAAATGTGAAAAGGTGCCAAGTCCACATTTTTTTTTTCAAAATTTAGTTTTAGATGCGGAAAGACGGATAATGCAAAACTACATCGGTTTTTCTTCTCTCCTGAATAATTAAACAAAAAATGGACTTGGCACCTTTTTACCTTTAGGTAAAGATATTTGATATGAACCATGAAACAGCTTTAAAAGAACTTCTCCAATAGGCCTTCTGAAGTACGCCCTACAAAACAAAAGCCCTTCTGGAAGCTCTTCTTTGGGTAGCGAAAGCAGAAGTCCTTTAATATATGCCAGTCCATACAAAAAAAAAAGAAGGAGAAAGGAATGACTTTTCGAAAGGCATTTTGGAAGAGATTTTAGCTCCTGAAATTATCTACTGGGTAGTATGTGTGACCCCTTAACCATGTACCTGTCCTTGTTGCACTTTTTTCGCATTTTTCTGAAGATAAAAAAGTAAGATTTTTACCAAATAAATTAAACAGAAAAAAAGGTCAATTCACGTTTGAAAACTTAACCTATTTTTCATAGCAAATATCTGCCAAAAATGGAATGGGTGGTCTGCATTGACCTTCATTAAAAAACAGGACAATTTAAGTGTTGACAAGGGCACCAGGACAATTTATCTAAAACCAGGGCGAATCCTGGAAAACCGGGACATCTGGCAGCCCTACCTTGCCTCAAAAAAGGAGGGAGATCAAACCTCCGAACACTTCTTAAAAATCATTTCCATTTTTGTTTGTTTTTAACAGACAGTTCGTCGGAATATATATATCATCGATTAAAGTGCAAAACCGCGTATTAACAAAATGCAAAACCGCGTATCAGCAAAATGCAAAACCGCGTATGTGAAGTTGTAGAAATTATTTTCTAGAGTGTAGAAACACCCATATTTCAAAATGGTTGCCTTTTTTATAAAGCAATCGCATTTCTGGCAAGTATATTACAATCCTTGAGCCAAGAGCTTGTGTGAGCAAATCCAATTTTTGGCAGCCAATGTCAGTTACGCGGTTTTGCAGAATGACGATACGCGATTTTGTACTTTAAACGACGATATGTGTATATATATATATATATATACATATTTTTTTATGTAACCGCATAACTTTGGACCACGTTAACCGATTGCGATAATTCTTTTTTATCGGAAAGGAGGTACCTCATTTCGTCACTGGACACGAATAAAGGCGCGAGCTCAAAAGACGCACAAAGAAACTTCAGCGTCAAAGACTCTTAACATACTTCGCCGAAGTTTTTCATAAGCATCTTTTTCGCAAAATTTTTTTACGCGCCTTTTTCGCCGTCAAAACACTAGCGCGCCTTTATTCGTGTGTAGTGACGATTTGTTTTGTTAGTTTGGTTTAGATCCGATAATTGGATCGTGAAGAAATTAAGATAATCTTAAATTTTTATATGAGAAATGAAGTCAGTTTTGTTTTTCGCTTAAAAATTACTTGTTGTTTTAAAAGAATCGAATGGCTTTAAATGTTAAAGAGTCTTTTACTAAATAGTACCGGTTGAGACTTTTATCTGTCTTAAATATGAATTATGCAGCAAAAATTCAATATAACATGTGTGTTGCACTGAAGCTTCATGCAATGATATTGGTGAAGGCCGTTTTGTTCAATAACCTATCGCCATTTTGAAGGTATGTGTCTTCAATAGAAGCTTTGGTTCCTGATTTCCACAAATGTTTCTTGAGTCGCATTTTTCACCAGCAAAAACGTTCGCCATAGACAGAAACACGAGGTAATCACTTGTTAGAGGTCAGGACTATAAACAAAAACTGAGTCAACCGATTTCAAAAACACTGGGTTCATTTGCCACTCCATTACAATATTAACACACAAAATTATCTTAGCAAGGGATTGAGGTGGGGATTCAGGAAGTTGAGAAACTGGAATTTTTTTGTTTGATATTTTACATGTGTTAATTGATTTTTATTGAAAAACTACTTTTATTTTACGCATTAATGAAAACTATGTTTTTTTCTTCATAACTTTCAGTTCCCCCAAAGAGTGGCCAAAAGCGTCCAGCAACAAGCCCAGCTCCTCCCATACCTTCGCCGCATCACATCCAATCTCCCTCCACCACACCCGGTGCTGGCAATAGCAGCGGTGCCACATCGGCAGCGCAAATGTCATCCAATCCGGCGTTGATGAACCACGTTATGCCCCCCAATCAATTGAGTGGCTTGCAAGCCGCTTCGTTGCAACAACAACAGCAACAGCATCAGCAGCAACAACAACAACATCAGGCCCATCAGCAGGCCGTAGCTGCCGCAGCAGCAGCCGCGCAAGCTCAACAACAAATGGTAGGCGTACCGAATGCTTTAAATGCGGCACAATCGAGTGGACGGGGGCCCTTCGCTTCCGCCCTGCGTAATTTGGCTAAGCAAGCTGATATTAAAGAGGAAGATGAAATCAATGTACGCGGCGAACGTACAGAACGCGCTGTGCAGCTAAGCGCTGGTGGAGGCGGAGGCGGCGTGGGTGTACCAACCGCCGTGAGTGTCGCCAATACCAATGTCAATGTATCTAATTCGGTGCGTTCTTCAATGGCCAATGAACGTCTGCCTTCAACCGGTGGCAGTGGGCCCGTTAGCGGTGTCGACGAGCGCTTAATGGCTAAAAAGCGCGCTGCAGCGTCGCCGCAACCGGCTGAGAAGATTGCGCGCATAAGTTCGCAGCAATCGGTGCAAATGCAGCCTGAGCTGTTGGCGCGCAGTGGCTTCCAGCCTTATCGGTCAGATGAGCGTCTCATACATCCAGCTGGCGCTTTCCCTTTGGATGCCTACGCCACCTTCGCTGCTTTGCCAACGATGCCGCCAGGTAAGTTTTCGCTTTATGCAAGAGTTTTGTGGATTTTGCTGTAATTGAAAAATTGTATGTTTGTAGGAGCATTTTTGAGTCCAGCTGGCCTGCCTTATTCCGATCAACTGTACTTAGACCAACGCTTTCAAATGCTACGCGCCGCCGGCTCCCATCATACCCATCCACATGCCCTATATCCGCCAATGGCTTCGCCTTACGCCTCCCATCTTTACTCCATGATACCAGGTGCTGCGCTCGGCTTGGGTTCCGCATTGCATGAACGCATGAAATTGGAAGAGGAGCATCGCGCACGTATCGCTAGAGAGGAGGAGCGCGAAAGGGAATTGCAAAGAGAAAAAGAGCAGAGAGAGCGCGAACGTGAGCAAAGAGAACGCGAGCAACGAGAGAAAGAACAACGAGAGCGTGAACAGCGAGAAAAGGAGCAACGTGAAAAGGAACAAAAAGAAAAGGAAGCACGCGAACGTGAGTTACGAGAGAAGGAGCGGGAGGCAAGAGAACGGGAGCGTCAAATACTCTCGGCATCGCATCACTATACAAGCCAGTTATATTCGCCCTTGGGGCGTAACTTGCTCGGACCGATGATGCCACACTTGGGCTTGGGTTTGCGTGCGCCACCTGGTGCGCTGCATAGCCTGCCACCGATGTCAGCCTACCATGCGGCGGCAAGCCAACGCCAGAGTCCTCACGCAGCAATGGGACTTAATCTAGGCTTGCCTGGCCTGGGCGGTGTGACATCGCTTACGCATGGCCCCGGCAGCTTGCCGCACCACCTACAGTCCTCAGCGTTAGGTTTGCCACATCCAGGTGCCGCTGGTCTAACGCATCCAGGCTTTCCCGGCGCAGCATTAGGGTTGTCCCACCACGGACTCAATTTAACACATCCACATATCTCACCACACCATCCGGCAATGGTGCCCAGTCATCAAATTTCACCACACTCATCTATACCATCAACCTCTACCACTACTACATCGCCGCACAATTTGAATTTGGGTTTGCAAAGCAATGCGGGTGTCAGCATGAAGGTATCGGTGCCCAATAGTGTTTCACAATCCCCTGTATCGGGTTTGCAATCCTCCAGCAGCATGACTCAATCCACTGCAACGCTCTCCTCACACATTCCGCAAATGAGCAACTCTCTTTACCACTCGCATCACACTAGTCAGCATATGGCCAGCGCTGGACTGGCGCCCGCATCTGCCCATCAGCAGCCGCCGAACTCAATGCCGCTCTCGCTAACTAGCAATTCAGGCCGTAGCCACTCGGCATCACCGATCACAATGAAATCAGTCCAACAGCCCTCCAACAACCCGAGTATGCATAATCAAAACGGCGGAAGATCTGCCAGCACCCCACATCCATCACGTCAGCATGGCATTAGCGCGGCACAGCACCAACAAAATGTGTCAGTACACGAGAAGTCAAATGCGTTGACATCCAGCGCTCTAGAACCCGCCACGCTGGATTTGACCGGATCTAACTCGAATTCCAGCGTACAGGTGTCCTCCGTGGCCAGTAGCGGTGGTCACAATACACACACCAATGAAGTGAACGGTGGTGGCGCAGAAGCAGCCGCCGATAAAGAGCGTAAAGATGCTGCTGCAATGGCGGCGTCTTCTAAAAATCTCGCCACCAATGTAAGCACCACCGATAAGAGAAGTCCATCGATATCGCCGCCAGTTTCCGCCAAAGATAATACCGTATACAATGTGGGTGTGTCGCCGCATGCAGAAGAGGCAACACGTCAATGCAGTCCGAATAGCGCGATGCCAACAACTGCAGAGCCTCATACATCCGTATCACCACCAGCAAAGCAGCCAGCCGCCGGTAGTGATGCAATTGTTGCAGCCGGACAACATGTTGGAGCAGGAGAAGCAGCTGGTTCAGGTAATTACAGCAACAGTACCAAAGCTATGACCGTACCTCCAGACAACAGTGTCAAGCCTACGAGTGACCCCAGCTCCAGTGGTGGTTTTACACCTAATTCTCAAAGTGTAACCAGCGATGTAGCGCCGCCGATGGCAAGTGCGACAGAAGCACTACAGCCGCCAGCAACACCAACCAACACCACAAACACTTCGCCCACGACGACAACACCGGATGCGGGCGCCACTGTAGGTGGGGTAACTTCCACCACCGGTGGCAGCACCTCGCCGCCAGTGGTGAGCAGCAGCACGAATATTGTAAACAATAAGCCACACAAAGCTAACTGCGATGAGACCGTGTCCAGTGCGACGTCGACTACGACCACTGCCGCTGTCGAAGTGAATGGTGGTGGTTGTGCGGGTGGTGTTGGGGGTGGTGGTCGGTGATGCTGTGTTGCTGCGTGTCTCTCTGTCTGGTGGCACCATCATCGAAAGCAAGCAACAGCTGTACTTTTTCGCTCATATAAATATTTAGTAACTGTAACTACTGTGTAACTATAAGAATAAGCCAAGCTTCATGCCATGTACTACTACCCGCTGTTGGATATCGTCGCCCGCTCCGTTGTTCTTATTTTCGCTAATCTCCAAATACTTTACTTCTAACACAAACTTCCTTTACTTCTAACACATTGAATTATCGGTTTATACTTTAACGTTTAAGCAGCAATTTATTATCGGGACTATGCGTTTATGTGTTTGTTTGAATTTAGTTGTAGTGTAGTTTTCAGTTAACTTTTATTTTAATTCACTTTTCATTTGATTTCAGTTCTAGTTTAGTTTCTTAAGAATTATCTACATATACGTTGAGTTCTAATTAAGAATTAAACATATAGATGGTAGAAAAACAATTTGCTAACACCACACAAATAATAATTAATAATAAATAACATGTGCAAATTATTCAATTTCAAAATTACATCTTTTTTGAATTTATGAAATAAACTTTGCAACCTAAATTTGAAGACTGTGTTTCTACTATTCTTGTTATTTATTGATTGTTGTTCGTTTTTTTTTTTTTTTGAAATGGCTGCTTTTGTTGATTAAATTTTTTGTATGTTTTTATTATTTTAATAAGAGGTCGTGAGAACCAGAGTATTCTAATCATAATTATAGAAAAAAATAAAAATAGAGATGTAGCAAAAATTATATAATTAGGTGTTGCTTATAACGACAGCAACGCCCGTTTAGCAACAATTTTCTCCAGATTTTGCCAAAAAAGTATTAGATACAACCATACCTAATTAATTATTTTCCACCATATGAAGAGTTTTTGCAGATAAGGCACTTTGATTCTCACTGTTGCCTTATATACATATGTATCATCACCGCTACATTGATTTTTTTCTCACGGGAGAAACTAAAATCTCTTTTGAAATGGGTATTGTAGCCTTCGACTTCGAAATCTCCAAAACTTGTTTAAGTGTTTTCACCGCATCTTCTTGTGATTTCGTTAACATTTTGTGGTTTGTACTTGATTTTACAATAAAAATGGTGGCACTTACCTCAACAACAGTACCATGCAAATGAAAAAAACGCTTTGAAAAAAGCGCCATAAAAATCCGCTCTCAACTCGCTTTTAATTACAGACTTGGTACAAATTTAATAGCTTACAAATATTTTCAACTTTATAATAGAGCCTTCGTTCTCGCGATAGCCTTGGCCTTCTCACAAGATTCTCGTGTATTGAAAACCTCGTTATACTCGCGCGCTTTTCAATGCTTAATTTTAGGCTGCGTGTTTAATTTAAGGTATTTAAACCATGAAATATTGAATTTCGTTCAAACGCAATATTAGTCTCGCTCCAAAATATAAACTATGTGCCTGTTCAGTTCTAATGAGGTCTGCATTGTCCGCCCCTCAAGAAGTCCCTTTGCAAATACCAGATTCCACTGTTCATATTAATTTATTACTTTTACTCACTCTCTTTGTGTCGGGAACTCGAGTATCGAAATACTCCAGAATGTGCGTGCAGAGATTTCCTAATTAAAATAAACTGAGATTTCCGAGTTAAAATTTGCGTATTTTTAAACTTTTCTGTATTTTTTTTTTTACAGAACCTCAGAAAACTATAATTTTATACTTTTATTTCTTTCGAAAAATTTTCTAACAAAAAATACTTTTTTCTGAGAAGTTTTAAACCTTATTTTTGAAACAAAAATTATTTTCGAAAACAATATTCTGTTAAAAAAACTACAAAACAAATATGTGAGCATTGTAACAATGAAATTAAAATTATATTATTTTCACTTTTTTTGCTAAATATTGTTTTTTTCAATGTATTGCTTTTATTTTCTAAATATTGTTTATTTTTTTCAAAGCGTTGTTTTTTTCAGATTACTTATTTTAGTTTCAAAATAGTTTTATAAATAAAAGATATTTTAAGAACTACACAATATTATTATTTAAAATTGTAATTTTTTTAATTTGTTGCTTGAAAAATTAAAATTGATTAGAACTAATTAAAAAAATGTCAAATCCCAAATGGAATATTGTTTCTAGTTTTTTCTTAACATAACCTTAAAAAACCTAAAAAAAAATAAATGTTAATAGTTTTACTTCTTTCAAAAATTACAAAAAATTAAAATCTGAGAGAGGTGTTGATCTTTTTTTGAAACAAAAATTAATTTCGAAATTCAAAAAACGTCCAAAATAGCCGCATACTTCACTTAAAAATTAATTTTTATATATTTTTTATTGGCTATGAGTTTGTGTATTTAATGTAATAACGACACTCGATTCAATTTAAGTTCCCTTATTTAAACAAACAATTTCAAATGCTATGATGATAGTTTTCTTAGCTCTGGAGATATTTGCCATAAACTGTATATATTGGGTCATATGAAAGGTCGTCTCAGTTTCTTGACAAAATTTTTGAAAAAGCTTTCTTTATTAAAAATTAATTTTAATCAAGTATCTACAGGTTGGCCATAATTATCTATGACCTTTTGCCATTTTTTCGGTTTATCGGTGAAAAACTTAGCCAAGTGATCTTTGACATAAAAAGTTCCGCAACGGAATTAAGTAAACCACTCCTGAGTCCGGCGCACAGTGATCTGAAATCAAAAAGTAGGGTTCAAAATAGCTCTCAGGCTCTAAGCCTTATTTTTCAACCGATTTATTTTTTATTTCTATTGTTTATAAATTTTTTTTTAGTGCAAAGTGCAGAGGAAGTAGTAATTTTAAAGAAAATCTGTTTCTATTAAGAAATGTTAGATAATAAAATGTGGTTGAAAACAATTATAGGGTTCCCCAAGAACGAGAAAAAAATAGCACAAAAATAAAATTTTGTTTTGAGTTTTTAGACAAATTTTAGGTGTGCAGTTTTAGAATTTTAGTATAATGAAATCAAAATTTTGAGAGATTAATTTTTCTAAAACTGAAAAAAAAAATAATAATTTTTGATCTCAGACTTCACTTACAGCATTCTCACCGTACACTTCAAATTATTTTCATGTTTTTGCTGCGTTTTCTTTTTGTTTTGTAGTAAAAAATCATTATATAATGTATTTCTTCAGACATTTCACTCATTTTCAAATAAATATAACTTTTTGCATGAGCGACGAGTTGCAGAACTGTCTTCGCTAAAAATGTAGCCTAAAAGTTCACGCTTCAAACGCATTCCACTGACGCAATTGGATTAGTGTTGCCAGATGCATGGGCATGAATACGTATCAGGCCAATTCTGTACAGAAGCTCCCTGGGAGTTTTCTCTTTTTTCCCTTTCCTCCTATCATGAGTAAAACTTCCCGATTTTTTTTTAATGGCGGAGTTTAGCTTTCAAAAAGTGTCAAACAGCTCTCCAAGTTCGAATTTCCACCTCGCAAATTTTCGTGGAAAATGCTACTTACTGGGTATATTCAGAATTGGACCTGATATAATGCCAAAATCTGCAGTGACTTTTCCTATGCCCAATATGTCACAATCTTCTACACACTATTGAGAAGTTGTCTCATTCACCGCAGGCCCTTTTGATGATATAGCGCCGTCCTCCTGCCCAAAAAATTTACATATAACATTCATTTTCCCCCCTCATTAATTTAGCTCATTACTGAAGCCATAACATTGCAGATGTGGTACAAGCATCCGTCGTTGCACATCCATTGAGCGCGCTCATCTGCAGCAATCGGAGTACACCCGAAGAGGCTAATAATGCATCGGCTTCATGACATCCATTCTTCAATGCGGCCAATAAGTAACTGCTGAAAAATATGAATGAATTCGGAATGTATCTGCTGGCCGAGCATGCGGCATCGTACAATGAGAAGAAGCCCTTCAGCGATAATTTTCTAATAAAATAGGCGAGAAGGCAAAGACGAGAGGATCACTAGCGACGATGAGACGCTAACTACTGTTGATAAGCGCTCAACAGCCGATTGGATTACAACAAATGGATGTTTGTTAAAATACTTGTTTCAGTATTTGATGTACTATATGTATGTAACCTATGTATGTATGCATGTAAATGAGGCTTTCAGAAAATTATGAAGAAAAGGGTGGACCTATGAAAGTTGCGGCAACAAGTCTTGAAAGTTAGGCAAATTTTGAAATTGCAAATAATTACAAAAACCAAAAAAAAAAAACATAATTAAATAAAATACACAAAAAACATACATAAATATTAAGAAAAAAATTAAAATATACACACACAAATATTGTGATTTTGGAGAGTACGAATTGGTTAATAACAGAACTGAAATTTTTAGGCAATTCAAATAAGTCTGGAAATGAGATACAACAAAACAAATGCAGCGCGATAAGAATATTTTTTGAAATTTAAATTTTACGTACATAAAAGGTTAGTTGAAATTGTCTCAAAAGCAAAGTCTTGTAAAGAAATAAACTTTTAAGTTTTATGTACGGACTTTGATTGAAGTTGTTTCTCTGAGCTGAGAGGTTATTAGGGTGTATTAAAAATTACTAAATAAAAAAAAAAATAAACAAATAAATATATATGTACTATATGTATGTAATTATTGTATCTATTGTACGAATAATGCGACGATTATGTTAAACTTGCAATTAGCTAAGCCAAGCCCAGCGCTGCTTTTCGTTTCGTGCGAATCTCACTACTACTTACAAATTTAAGTACGAGTATTTTTATTGTAATTATTAGATATATACTACATATAGATAAATGTGTGTATGCGTGTGTGTACAAATAACTTTTTGCGAATACTGTAATATATTTAAAAAATAATAATGATATTTATTAGAATTTTCGTCTAATGCAACGTGAACTATTTAATAATTAATAAAATTAAATATGAAATAACGAACTCAATACACACAAATGCAAAAAATATACATACTTAAATAACAACAAAAACTAAAAATACATACTTATGTAAAAAAGAAAAATTAATTATTGATGTTAGTTTCTTAATTGTACACCGTTTCGATAAGCTACTGTGAATTACAAACAAAAACCAAACAAAAAAAATACAAAAAATATGAATATTTATAAATACTAAAAGAATACGAAATACCAAATTTTATGAAATTAAACGCGTAAATGCAGAAAATATTGCATGAGTACTAAATGGAAACAATTATTGTACTAATTAATTATTCACACCGGTTTAGTTTTTGATTCATGCGGCAGTGGAGATTATTTTTTAGATACATTTTTATTTATTTATTTATTTTTTTTTCAATTTCAAAAGTTGGCTTAATTAAACGAGTTCGGTAATGCGTATTAAATCAAATTTTCAAAGCAAAATACAAACATGTTTAGTTTTTGGCATTTGCATACAGTGATGGCCACATAGCTGGTGACACTACTTCTTTACAAATTTTGACATTTGCTTTGTTTATTTTTAAATTATATGTTTACAAAAAAAAAATCCCCAATTTCATCAGACTTTTTGATAATAATTTCTAGAAAAAAAATCAGTTATGAAGTCTTATAGTCCATTAAATTTTAACAAATATTGTGCATGTTTGAAGCATAGTTGTGAAAAATGTATAAATTTTTTAATGCATAGCATTTTAACGTTAATGTAAAAAAAACAAATGCATTAATTTTTGCAATTTAATGTAAAGGAAAATGTCAATGCATTCATTTCGAAGAAATAATGCTATACATTTTTTTTTGCATTAACATTAAAATTGTTAAATGTAACAAATAGTGGCACGCTCAGCCACTGCCGACTACGTATACACGCGTTCAAATGTTCAGCTCGCACAAATAAAATACAATTATTGCTTTCAAATAACATCATCATTTTGGAACGTTTTCCCGATACGAAAATGAATGAAAATTTTAGTCGTTTTCTATTCATTACTGGATACATAAAATGGTACGCGACTGCACTGTCGGCTGAGTACAGAATAATAATTTTTAACCAGGGCTCGAATCGTCACATACGATATCGTATTACTCGTCACGTAAAAACACATTTTTCAGATTATGACATACGTGCATGTACTCTTTATCCCATTCAGCTTATACGACTGACGGTATCACGTAATTTTCTTTCGTATGGTTTTCGATCCGTGAACGTATGTTACAATTTGAGCCTTTATACCATAATTATAATTGAAAAAAAATTAATGGCTAAATTTTGTATGGAAGTCGTTCCCCTAATTATGTGGCCACCACTGTATGTGTATTTTTTGCATTTTGAATGTAGAATTTTTTTAGTGTCATAAACACACGAGTTTTTAATTTGCAGTTTAATTTCTTCATTTTTGTTTTTCTTTTAAAATTAACTTTTTTAATATTTTTTAATTTTTTGATTGTTTTATTTTTTAATGTCTTTGTTAAATTTTTTTTCTTGCTTAATATTGTTCAATTTTCATTTGTCGAATTTTGTTTCTTCAATTGTTAACTTTTTTGGTGTCATGAACAACACGTTGATTTATTTTCCTTTTCTTCAATTTTTTTAACATTTAATTTTTTTGGTTTGTTCGGCAACTTGTTTATATGGAAAAAAATTTACGAAACCTTCAACGAAAAAAATGCCTAAAATCAACGAAAAATTTTAGCTACTTCCAACTTGCACTTATTATACTAAGCTAGGTTGTGTGTTTTATTTGTTATATTTTATTTTTTAATAAAACGTAGCGGTACAAATTCTTTCACTAAAAATTCTTAATATTGCGAGCGTCAACTGAAAAATGAAGATAGGGGCTACAATTTTAACGAAATTTTCATACCGAAATTTTCATTTCGTTCTATTTGACACAGTCTAGTATGTATGTATATATTTTTGCGATTGATGCTGTTTCAGAAGAACACATATTTTTTAAAAAGCGTTTTAATGAATTTTTTTTAAACGATTTTGTTTTTTCTTTCAAATTTCCGCATATTACTTCTTAATAAATCTAATAAAAGTGAAAAAGTTGTAACGGCAATAAAGTTTAGTTAAAAAATAAGCGAAATTACTTAATGCAGAAAAAACCTTTTCTAAAATACGTATTTTTGTAATATTGTTTTTTTAGCTGGACGTCCAACATTGCCGAACTCGCCATAACAATTTTCAGTCTCTTTTAATTACACCTAATAAATGCAATTTTTAAAGCTTGCTCGTGTTTAATTCATGAGCACATCCAATTTATGCGAAAAAACTATGACCTTTCTTACCTTTAATACGTTTTTTTTATACAGGGTGCTTTGTTATTGAAATTTTTCCCTATTTTAAATGTTCAAAATATATATATAGTTTTTTTTTAATCAAAACCAAAATAAAAAACGACAAATTCGATAAATCTCGAGCAATCTGTGATATGGGGAAAAATTAAACAAGAAAAAATTACAAAGCAAAAACAAAATCTTAATTAACAAAGTTTCGGAAATTATAGAAAAAAATGTTTTTTTTTGAACTAAGTTTCACAACGACATGTTGCATTTCATTATATGTATAATATATATGCATGTATGTATATTATAGTTATGTATGTATGTAACTTACTTCACTTTAACGTATGGTTTGGTTTAAGTCCTTAAAATATTATAGTTTTTCAAAGCTTTACGATTGCCAAAAAAAGTTAAACTACACAAAAAAAAAAACATATTTGCATAATATTAAAAAATCAAATTACAGTAAAAAAACTCAAACTCAAAAATCGGCAAAAAAGAACGAATTACATTTCCAAAAAAAGTAGAAATTCACAAAGAAAAAGAGGTGGAAGGTATGGCTGTTGTATGAAATTTATTACATTTAATTAAAATTTCGTTCGTTTTTTATAAAATAAAAATTTAATCGCTAAACTAGAAGATATACATACATATTTTCTTAATTTATTTTTTAGTTTAACTGTAGCTGTATACTTTATTGAAGTTTTTTCCTAGCAGCCTATGCCTTGTTGCCACCTCTCCGTTTATAAACAACACTCGCGCATGTATTAAAAAAGCAGATCAACTACATATTTGTTTATAAAATAAAATATTAAAAAAAAAATCACAACAATCAAATAACAGTGGCGCAAATTCTGTAAAAAACTTGTGCTGTAAGTTCCAACAGGATTTGCAAAGTTAATATGTCAAAATACTTGCTGCATACATACAAACGTGAACACACTTATGCACTGTTGTATGTGTGTACAAATGTACCATACAAAAAATTTAAACACAAACAATTTAATTAGTAGTAGAAGTCTATTATTTTAAAAGTAAAAACTTCCATACATAAATTCTCAAAAAAAAAAAACAAGTAAAAATGTACGTTTTTTCCAATAACTGAATTTTTTAAAAGCAAGGTAAGTAACAGTATACATATATGTATGTTACAATAAAAAAATATATTCTTATATATGTCCATATATACTAATGGCCTTATTCATAAAAAATAAAGTAGCTTTATGAAAGGTTCATAAATTGAAAAATGTATGTAAACGTCAATTTATAAAGCTCTTTAAACCTACTTTATTTTTTATGTATAAGGCCATAACACTATATCATTAATTTTTCAAATTTAGGTTTTTAAAAATTGATTCATACTACTCTCAAATAAATCAATTGATTAGTCTTTTTTCGTTGGAGTCGTGTGTTAATTTTTTACTATTTCCATTTTTTTTTTTATTATTCAAGCAGAATCTTGATTAAAATATTTCAAAAATCTTCAAAAGTTGCCTCGCATCGTCAACGCACATTTTCGCAACATTTTCCTGCAATATTTGTGTCAGAAGCATGTTGCTGGCAGTCGCCGGATGCTATGGCGGCGGAAGTGTGCGATATGAATGTAATGTTGCATACCTTCAGGCGCCGGATGTCAAACGTGTGCAATTCCGGCAGCCACTCCCTGGCTGATTATGCGCGCCTGGTGCATCGGCGAAAATTAAGCAGCGAGCCGGAATTCAAGCGAATTAGGGTGGTCGAGCACATTTTTTTTTGCCGGATGAAAAATTTTGAACGAGTATGTGAAATTGTGTGAAATTCAAAATGATGCAAAGAAAATCAGTTTTTTAATATTTTACATTTCTTAAAATTTTATTTTTTTCATAACCATTAGAAAATTTACATTTTTTTTAAACTTTTCAGTTCTTATAGGAAACATTTTGTATAATTTTGACAATTTTTATTTTTATTTCTATATATGAATATGTATGTACGTACACATGTATGCATATAAAAATCGTAATTTTTATGCATTAAAACAAAATATTAATAATAATTTGCAAACGAAATCCGTTACAACAAACAATACATATTTTCTTAATGACATAAATTTTAGCTGTAAAAATTAATTGCACTTTTCCACGGACATTAACGCTCATCACTTCGCATTTTACTTATTTGTGTTGCGCTTTCAATAAAGTTTAAGCCGACTCCTGCGCCTGCCTATATTCGAAGACGCTACCACGTTCGGTTAACTGATGCTTTTCAGCATGTGAGGCCACTTTCCAACCACCAGGTGCATCTTCTCTTGGCACGCCATAACCGCCACCGCCAGGCGTTTTCAGCATAAACAGATCCTATAGCATAAATATATACAAAAGAGTAAATCACATTAAATTGCCTTTAGTTTTGCCAAATTCCAAAACTCACCCCTGTCTCCACATCGATGCAGGTCTTTCCGCCCAGTGAAATGACTCGACCATCCGGTTTACGCAACAAATTCAAGCCACTCTTCCCCGGCTGTCCACCCACCAGCCCGTATGGCTGCAACGTGCGACGCTCAGTCAAAATCGATAGCGTTACCGGCTTCCGGAAGAGTAATTCACGTTCCACGCCTTCACCGCCATGGAACTGGCCAGCACCACCCGATTGGTCGGTGCGCAAGCAGAAGCGTTTCAATATGATTGGGTAACGCAATTCCAATATCTCCGGATCTGTTATGCGCGTATTGGTCATATGTGTATGTACACCGTCTGCGCCATGCCATGTGGGTCCAGCGCCTGCACCACCAGCCACCGTCTCATAGTAGCCCCACTCTTCATCGCCGATGGTAATATTATTCATACAGCCACATGAGGCCGCACACACGTTAAATGTCTTCAGTACAGTATCGACGATGCGCTGAGATGTTAGCACATTGCCGCCCACCACTGCTGCGCCCTCGGATGGATCTAATATGGAGTTCTTAGGCACAATAACTTTGATGGGCGCCAAGCAGCCTTGATTCAACGGCACATCATGACCAACCATGCAGCGTAGGCAGTAAATGAGCGCAGAGAGCGTAATGGCGCGTGGTGCATTACAATTGCCCCACACTTCCGGACCCGAACCGGTGAAATCACACAACGCATTTCCCTGCTCGGAGTCGATTTCTACACGCAGTTTGATAGGCGAACCATCATCCATGAATTCAACCGCCTCCAGCGTGGTGGTGCCATTGCGCTTGAGCACCTGCTGCGCAATCTCTTTGAGCATATCGCGTACGGCAACCTCGGCATTTTGTTGTATATAACTCATGTAGGCCTGTACGACATCCAAGCCGTAGCTATCGATGAGCTCGGAAACGAGTTGTATGCCTTTGTGATTGGCGGCGATTTGCGCTTTAAGATCCGAAATGTTGTCGGGCAAATTGCGCGTTCCGGTGGCACCTTTTGCGCCTGTCGGCGTTATTAAACGTTGAATGATATTCTTCTCCTGGAATACACCACCCTCGACAATTAGAAAAGATTTAAAGGCGGCGCCTTCCTGCGCTAGTGATGTGGAATGTGGCGGCATTGAGCCGGGTGTGATGCCACCGATATCGGCGTGATGACCACGCGAGGCGACAAAGAAAACCGGTTTCGGTTGATCGCTAGAAGAAAGGGTTTAAGTTGCACTTAAAAATGACGGAAATAAATTTTGCCAAGAATCCAATTGATGTTACATTTGCGCTTACCGATAAAACACCGGCGTTATCACTGTCAAATCGGGTAGATGCGAACCGCCCGCTTGCGGATGATTGGACAAAATAACATCGCCATTCTTCAAGCTATCCCCGCGCACTTTCAGCTGATATTGCACTGTCTCTTGCATGGCGCCTAAGTGCACGGGTATATGTGGCGCATTGCTCACTAGACCGCCGTCGGGCCCGAAGAGCGCGCAGGAAAAGTCAAGACGTTCTTTGATGTTTGTAGAAATCGAAGTGCGCTGGAGTACCCTTTAACCAAAATAAAGTAAGTACTCCTCAGTACAGTTAGTAAATTTATTATTAATACCACGCGCTTACCTGCCCATTTGCTCGGCAATACTCATAAAACGATGGCTAAATATGCTCAACTGTATGGCATCGAGTTTGCAGTCGACTACGTTGCGTTTGCTGGAGCTTACATTGATGATGAGATCGCCGCGCGTCGTCACCTCTGCTACACATTCCGGTTCCAAAAGTATGGTCGAAAGTTGATCAATCAGAATTGCTGGTCCCTGTATTTTACAGCCAGCCAACAGATGTTTAGTCAAGTAGATCGGTGACTCATGGGCACCTTGCTCGAAGAAAATGCGAGTGAAACCCTCTGGCTTAGGTGTGGTTGCAACAGATTTCTCGATTTCAACTTCGGGTGGTGTATTATTCTTGCCCAGGCCTCGCACGCGTATATCATCTACAACAATCGCGCGATTTTGTAAAACAAAGCCGAATTCGGTACGATAGCGTTGAAGAAATGTGGCGATGAAGTCGCCGTAGGATGCAAGTAAAACATCTTCATTGCTCGTCGTGGCGGCTGGCGCGCACATCAAAGCACAGTCGGTACCGTCATAACGCAAATGCAAAAATGGTTCCAACTCAATTTTGCTGTAGCCCTGTAATCTTAAGCTTTTATTGGATTGCTCGGCTAATGCGTCTAGCCGTGCCTTGAAAATACCAGCATTTTCGGCCGAAAAATCCAAGCCACAAGGCTCTTGCGTCTCCTGTACAACATCAGCAAGTGCCATGCCGTAGGCGGAGAGCACACCGGCATATTTGTGTACAAGTACCTGTTATTTATTAATAAAATTTAGTTAAACGTTACGACAGTTATAAATTTAAGGATAGCGCTTACCTTACTTATTCCCAACTCGCGCGCAATAGAGCAGGCATGTTGTCCACCAGCGCCGCCAAAGCAAGCCAGCACATGCTGTGACGTGTCCAACCCACGCGCTTGCGTTAGCGCTCTTATGGGACGACACATAGCTTCATTGGCGACTCGTATGAAGCCTAAAGCCACATCCTCAACTGTTAATTGTTTCGTGTCGCCACCACTTTTCAGGTACTCATTAATCAAAATACGCATTTGCTCGAATTTTTCTTTAGTTACCGTAAAATCAAGCGCTTCATTTTCTTTGGGGCCAAATATTTTTGGAAAATAATCAGGCAATAAGCGACCTAAAATTAAATTAGCATCTGTTACCGTTAGTGGACCACCCTTTTTGTAGCAAGCTGGACCGGGATGAGCGCCCGCAGATTCGGGGCCGACCACAAAAAGTCCCGAACGAAAGAAAAGCATCGAACCGCCGCCAGCTGCCACTGTATTGATGTCCAATTGGGGCGCTTGTATTGTTACGCCAGCGGTTGTGCTTTCAATTACATGCTCATAGACGCCCGCATAGCGGGAAACATCGGTTGATGTGCCGCCCATGTCAAAACCTATCAGTGGCGCTTCCGTTTCACGCGCCCCAGTCATTGCATAGCCAACAACGCCACCTGCTGGACCGGAGAGTATGGCACGTGCGCCGCGAAAGTTTTCCATACGCACCAAGCCGCCATCCGATTGCATGAAGAGAACGTCAACGCCCTCCAACTCCTTATCAAAGCCGGATTTGAAGCTGGATGTGTTTGAGATTTATGGATATTTGTGTAAGAAGATAAGTCTTTCGCATACATATATGCATATACAGTTATTTCAAAGTTTTAAATATCTCGCAATATCTGCCTTGATTTCTTTAGATAAGCAATTTTTTTTACCTGTTGAGATAACGTTCGACGTGCGGCGTTAGATATGCCTCGGCGCAGGCCGTATAACCGCGCGCTACTAAGCGCCGCATCGGCATAGCCTGGTGTGAGAGTGTGATATGCGTAAATCCAAGCTCCTTTGCTATTGCGCCTACTTGCAATTCATGCACTGGGCAAGCAAAACTATGCGCCAGCACCACAGATACACTTGTGATGCCTTGTTCGCGAACTTCTTGTAAAGAAGCACGCACATTTGCTACATCGACCGGTTGCATTTCCAAATACTTAGCGCCTGAAGTGCCTTCGAGCGCCCTCCAAGTGTGTTCTATATGAAAAAAAATAAAAAATTAAATCAAAATATTACTCTTAACAAAAGTATGTATGTATGTTGTAATAAAATAACACTCACCCAACTTGCAGCGATTCGATTGCTCTGGCACAATACGACAACTAATCTCCACAACTGTTTTATATAAATTTGATGGTTTCCGTATATTGAGCTCGAAGATTTTAGGACGCGCTTGATTGCCTATGTAAAGCAAATCACGAAAGCCTTCATTCACCACAAGCGCTACGGGATCGCCTTTGCGTTCCAGCAATGCATTCGTGGCCACAGTTGTACCCATACGTACCCAACCAATTTGACTAGTATCAACAAGCCCCTCCGCAGTAACATCGCTCCCAGTTTCCTGTGCGACGAAGTGGTAATTGTTAAAAATACAAATTACTTCGTTAATTACGTATGCGCTTCACGCACAGTAACAAAGTACATATTTATGTACATACATATGTACATATGTACGTAGTATATTCTCAACATTTCTTACCTCTTTTAATATGCGACGTATACCTTCTCTTGGTGCATCACTATAACGGCTGGGATCCTCCGACAAGAGTTTCAGTGTACGTACTTTGCCATCTGGACGGATGCAAATGATATCCGTGAAAGTACCACCTCGATCAATGGCAAAGCAGTATTTTCCGCCGGTGCCTGGTTGTTGTGCCATTGCGTATTGTATTTCACCACTAACTACTTACGATTTATGTATGAATGCATGTATGTGGATTGAATAAATTTTTAAATTTCTGTGCGTTTGCATGTGCGTGTATGCGGGTGTATATGCAGGCACTTATTTGCGTCTGAACTACTTGAAAGCCAAGCGGATTCTGTGAGTTAAGCTATCAGGTGCCTTGCTATAAATAACAAAAATTAAACACTGTCTTGCTCCACTGCTGGATATTAGAAGAAGTTGTTTGTAACAGTATAACTAAATACACAAAAATACCATCACAATTTGTCAAAACAAGTAACTTTCTGATAACAAGTGATTGTGGGAATGATAGCAAAAGTTAGTGTTGCCATACCTTCGTCTCGATTTATTTATGCTTCGAATTTCGATAGCTGTACTACAGTCTTTATCGATAAATGACGTTGCAGCAAGCTTTTGAGTAATTGCGAAATATCAATTAGGAACAACAATAATAAGCTGAGTTTAGAAGCTTTGCAAGCAACTTGTTCGTTGATGAAATTGTCGGCTTAATTCTGGTTTCTAGCGGCTGTGCTATAAACGTTTGTATGCAAAGTAGCGCGTGCTTGTTTTCTTAGATGATAAAAGGTGTGATTGCCAATAAATTTGGGATACAAGTTACCTTGTTGAAAGTTGTTTATGATTTTGAGAGAATTGTTTTAATAGAATTAATGCAAGAATGATAGAATACAAGATTGCGCCGATCAGAGAGGATTTTTGAGAATAACTTTTGTGTTACGTCACACTGGTGCAATTGCGAGCGAGAAATGCCAAAACGTGAGCAAGAATGGAAGAAGAAGAAAAAAATGTTGCGAGGAAAACGTAAACAAGTTGCACAAGTGTGACGTCATGCAAACAACGATTCTGTCAAACTCGTTAAGAGAGGAATAGCGGTCCGAGATCGGCGCAACCTTTGTATTCTCTCAATCGTGGAATTAATGCATGTACATTAGGGTGCATCCACTGAGATTTATAAAATTTTGGAAATGGTATCAGAAAACTTCAAAATGCATCTTGTGGTTTAATGTTACTACAACTATGGAGATTAAAGTTTTGTGAGTTAAAAACTCGAAAGGAGAAAATATTGTATCAACAGAATCAATAAAAGAGATTTTTGGAGGTATTTTCAAATTGGACTATCTCATGTAAATATCAGTTGCGATCCCGTACGAGTACGGACGAGTCAGAAATAATCAGATTTTACTAGAAATCGATCCCGTACTCGGTTCTCCGACAATTGAGGGGACACAAAAAAAGATATTAAATAAGGTCGTCTCTCTGTCAGAAGTTACCAATTTATAAGGTGATAAGTTTGAATATTTTTCGGAAACACCCATTCATTCAAAAACTCAGGAATGTATAGGAGCAGGAGTATACGGCCCTAAAGACACAATCTCCGAACCCAAGGGGAAATATGAATTTAAGTATCTTTTAAGCAGTAGCTAATGCCTTGAGTGCTTGTACAGCAGGCCAAAAGCTTATAGTAAGCTACAAGTCCAAGATATTTAGAGAGCTATTAACTCGCACAAAGACAAGCTTAAAGCTCGTCGGCGATTTCAAGCATCCGTTGTTGGTTACCCCAGCAACGAGTACATGTGCGAGTGTCGGGTTGAATGTCGGGTGCTTGAAGCTTGCCCGGCGACACTCAAGCATAAAGCGTCAACACCATTAGCAATAAAATTTCGTAGTGGGCGGACGTAAACATGTCTTCATCGGATGACGATTTTTTGCTACTTGCCACTAAAATCTTTATCTTCCGCGAACTTGCTCATTTTACATATCACAACAAACTAACACACTAATGCTTGTCAACGCTTTGCGCCACTATCAAACAGACCGCTTGTCAAGCGGTCGCGTTGATGGAAAATCAAAAATTTTTGATTTTCCATCAACACGAGCCGACAACAAGTACGTGTGACACGACGATCCCCGATTGCCTCGGTTGCTGGGGTAACCAACAACGGATGCTTGAAATCGCCGACGAGCTTAAGATGTGTACAGGCATACCGTAAGGTCATTGGAGGCTGCGCGCACAAGTGAACAACCTGGAAATTAGCTCAGACGAGATATAACGCTACTGCGATACGGTGGCAGAAAGCTCAATGCAGCTACTTCCACAAAGAATGCGACATGGTTTCCAGAAGAAGACAAATCTATCTGGAGGGCTGTGGCCACAGGCTACACATATTTACTCTATGCTGCGGAGAGAACAAAAACCCGTGACACCTTCACCCACCGAAATAGAAAGTTCACAGCCTAAGCTTTTAAATTACATACCTGTGATCCAACGAAAAATTGATGTCGTCGTTTACAGGGTTAGATCGCTGAAAAAAGAGCTTGGTAGGGTAAAACCTGAGTAATTCCGGTGAGTGGCACTGACTTTCGTGGAAATACTCTTGTCACGTCTCGGAATGTTACACGTCACTGAGTAATCTTTTCAAAACTGGGGAGTCAAATTGCGATTTTCGTGGATTTCGAAAACGAATACTGTGGATAGCGCTTCCAGTGCTGGACGTAACGGGACAATTGCATACTCACCTTCCGGTCACTGCTACCCCAACGACCCATTTGAATGAAACTATGTACAATATTTTTTTTTTGGCGCACGAAATAGATTGAAATATTTTTATTGAATTGCGTTTGGTGATGACAATAACCGTGTGTATGTAAGTATGTAGGTTGTAAGTCTGTCGTAAGTGTGTATATATCCCTTGTCGTTGCACTTAACACGTAACGCAATAACACTCTGTTTTAGGTATTATCTTTTTATTTATTGTTAATTCATTATTTAAATATGCATTATATCCATTAATACTTTTTACGTTTTTTCGCATTCGCTTTGCTTTAAATATGTTCTTTTTCTTGCGGAACAGTTAGTTAATAGATAAACCACGGCCAAAACTTGTTATCGGTTGCTTGTTGTCAATTATAACGCATTGACGTTCTTCCAGCCAAACATTCAGTTACTACTACTTTTTTTCATTTCAAATTCAACACTTGTTAGCTTTTCACATTGAAACATGCAGTAATCAATATTTGTGGTACAACAGTTAATTACTTGTAATGGTTTTATAGGTATGTATGTATGCTTAACTTTTGTTTTAAATTAATTTTTTAATATATATATTTTTTTTTGCTTTGTTTTGTTTCATTCTTGAATTAGTTACTTAAAATGCATTTAGTACCGCTGCTAACATTTAGGTATGTATGTATGTGTATACATATATAATTTGAGTTTTTAAATAATTCAATTAAAATTTTATTTTAGTTTTTTTGTGGATCTGTATTTTTTGTTTCATCGTTTTAATGGCTTAATGCGTTCACATTTAAAAACATTTTGATTCTTTTGTTTATTCGTTTCGTTTTTGGTTTACTCTTAAAGCGCTTGTTTTGCAACAATATGTACCTATAATTTGTATTTTCTTATTATTTTTTTATTTACCTTTTTATGCATTAATTAGCATTAATTATTATTTAGCTATGTATGTTTGTATGCATGTGTAAATTACATTGATTTTTATTTTTTTTTTTTATATGGGTGTTTGAATAAGATTTAATTAGCTTTGGTTTAAAGTTGTGATGTTTATTGTTGTCCGAAACACACACACATACATACATTTGTAAAATCATTCCGTGCTTATGGATCTGTATATTATGTGTTTATTCACACAGAGCAGCGGAATTTAATGAGCGTGTAAACAGTCTCTTCTATTTATTTATTTATCTGATAATAATTAAAGTATTACGCTCGCATTAGTGCTAAGCGAATTAGGTGAATTGACAAGTGTTAAAAAAAATATGCCTAACTCCCGCTGCTAATGCATAAATACATCTCATCAAACACACCAGATTGCAGTTGTTTATTTTCGCTTATGTATGTACGTATGTTTGTATGGGTGTGTGCATACCCTGCAGGGAAAACCCGAACTAGTGAATCAATTAATTTTCGTCAAAGTATTGAACTTTTTAATCTAATTTTCGAAAAAAATATTGGGTATGCAGTTACAAGCCCTATGAAATTTAAGTAAAACAAGTGCACGTTTAAAGCGACGAAAAGTTGCGTTGATTTTTATTTATTTATTTTTTTGCTGCCGGCTATTCGGTTTTTTTTAACAAGTGCAGACTATAAACTAGAGTTTATTTGTGAAGTTTTTTTTTTTTGCAAGCGGTCTTTCGTATTTTATTCTACCACAAATTCTCGTTTATATGGTGCAAAAAAGCTGTCAGAAAATAAAATAAAAATCAATGCTATTCTCTAGCTTTACTAGAATTGCATAGGCCGTGAAACTGCATACCCAAAAATTTTCTATAAAGTTCAACATTTTGATGAAAATTTGTTAAGTCCTTCTAAATTATTTATAACGTTTCACTTTTGGGGTTTTGGTTAAAGCATTAACTATATTGTTGTAAAAAGTAACAAAAAAATTTAATTTGCAAAACATTCCAAATATTTAAGAAAAATCACCATGCACTCATTTTTGACCGCCAGTGTAGATCCCCACCAAACTATTTAATATTACTTTTTAAAACTACATATGTATTGCTAGCAAATAGTGACAAGTTGCTAAGTTAACTTTTTCTAAAAAATTATATTTTGGGACAAGAAAGAAGCAAGAACAGTAAAATAGCATCGTTTTCTAAATGATCGAACTACATTTTTTATTTCTAACTGTTTCTATTCAGGTATACGCCAATTTGCTAAGTCCAAAACAGCCTCAAAAAATGTAACAAGTCCCAAAGGGTAGAAAAACTTTTCATTGGAAATCTATGTCTAAGGTGACGAATTCAGAACTATAGAAAAAAGAATGCAGGGGGTGAACCCAACTGTCTTTTGTTTTCTATAGAAAAATAGATTTTTGTTTGAATACGTTTTCGTTCGCACTTCACAGATGCTTTTGCATAGGTTGTAAACACAAAACAAAAAAAATGTTTATTATCATTTTAACAAGTTGCGTCTGATAGTCTTGGGCCTTCAGAATCTAACCAATTATAGCAAGCACCTCTGCGCACTCAAGAACTGGCATGGAATGCAAAGCGAACTACATCTAAACTGTGGAATTTTAAACTGGTGCGAAAGCTAAAGAAAAAATAATGCAGAGGCAACCAATGTAAAACTAGAGATTTTCCCTACAGGGTATTGATGGGTGCGTACAATGACGTATGTGGGAATGCATATATGTATGTATGAACACATATGCTGTTAAATTCATATAGGTTTTAATTGATTTCAATGATTAGGTAATTCTCCAAAAAAAAAAACCTTTATTTAAATTGTGTAGGAAATATTTCGAACTTTTTTATAAAAAGAAATAACAAATTTAAAAAAGTAAAATTAAAAAAGAGGAAAAATGATTAACGCACTACAAATATATCTACATTTGTAAATACTACGGATGTTCATCCCGGGATCCCGGTCTTTTTAAGTCCCGAAAATCCCGGTATTATTTGCCAAGAATCCCGCGATTTTCGGGATTTATAATTTACGCCTAATGTTGACCAGTTTTGGCTATATTTCTCTTGTTTCAATTGTTTTTTTTTTTATAAATGTCTAGCTCATTATAGTACATATAACACCGTGCGACATTCAATTTACACACAAAAAAATCAATATATTCTCAAAACCATGGGCCAAGTATAGTAAAATTGCCTTTTTTATGTTTTTAAAGGACTTTTCAATTTGAAAAATATTAGTAACTAAAAAAAATATTTGAAAAATTCGGTGCAATGTACTTAGAAAAACAGTGTGGGTATCAAGTTAAAGAGAAAATGCTGTAAAGTTAAAAAAGATTAAATATTTTGGTGCGTAAAGACGGGTAGGCATTGAAAATGTCCTTTTAAAATTTTATCCTTCAAATTCTGCAATATTTAGTTTTGAAAAAGTCATATGTAATGACTAATATAAACTCGACAACATCCTCGTCCTTCTAACTTTATTAGCTTAAAAAAAAAAAAACGATTAAAAGGTTTTTCAATACCTATTCGCCCTTGTGAACCCCAAAACTTTTAATTTTTTAAATTCTACAGAAATTTCTCTTTCATTTGGTGCCTACCCATATTTTTATTCTACATTGTACTGAATTTTTTAAAATAATTTTTGGAATTAATCATATCTTTGAAATTATAATTATAAAGTCTTGACGTCAGAGAGAAAAACTAAAATCGCAGTTAAACTATGTAGGGTAATTAAAAAAATACAAAAACATTTTGAAAGAATTAAGAGGATTCCCGTATTTAACTTAGAAATGGTGGAACAAATTTAAAAAAATAATAGGGTCTACACAAAATAATACCTTTTATTAAAAAAAAAATTAAAAGAAGAAATAAAGAAAAATGATATTAAAGCTGCATTTTTCAAGTACTCCATTATAAAATGTGTTGTTTTGCATTCGTTTTTTTTTTTGTTAATTCAATTAATTATTGTGTGAGCGCATTTATTGTTTGGTGCTTTAGTTAAGTTTGTAAATATTTATGTATTTTAAATATATTTCCCATTAATATGTATACATATATTTTGTAAAATGTAGCATGCAATACATAATCGATTTTTATCTTATAAGTATGTATGTACATACACATATTGTTAAGTTTGGAGTTAGTTTTCATGAAAAAATTTGTGGAAGCGGAAAGCTTGAGCGATGTTTCGCGCGCGGAAAGGGGTAACCGTCATCAATTAAGCATACATATATGGTGCTACAGTGAAAATTAGCCTTCCTCAGTTTCATTGCGGGAAAAATACTTCCGACTTTTTTAAGCAAATTTTTCCACAACTTTATAGTCTACCTCTTCTTTATTGCCTTGCCAAAGTGCATTTCGTTTTGAGTGAAAGTAGGTAGCATTATTTACAATTTTATGAACAGGTGAAATTATAGCTTTTTTTTTTAAATAGAAATGTCTAATTTTGCCCTGTGTTTTTTAGCCATATTATGGAAATATTTTTTTTTTAAGATGAAAGCTGCCGGCAGCGAGGCAACGTAACGTCAAGATATTTGGAAGAAAACTCATATTTCTGTGCTTCTAATATCAATTTTTCGTTGATTTCACTTCTTATCACCCTAACGTACCACCCTAATATCAGTAAATTAAAGCCGGAACGGGAAAGCTGAGGTCAATGACGTTTGGAATAAAAAATTGTCTCTTCGAGACAAAAACACCGATATATGATACTTTAAAACACGACTGTAAATGCCGAAGAAATGACTCAATAATGCCTAAATAGACAGCAAATAGAAAAAAAGAGGAGGAGCTGTCTAAGCATGTCATCAAGGGTGCCAGGGATCTTGTGTATAAGCTAGTTATGAAACAACTCGCAGGAATGACGCCTGAGCCGCATTTAAGCGCACGTGAAATTTATTAGATTGTTAGAGACTGTGCACTGCGACCTTAGGTCTATTGTGAAATTTATTAAATTAAAGTCTTACTCGAAGAAACCACAAGAACTCCACTAGAAAATAATAACTCGACAGCTCCAGGCGAGGCTCTAAAGATGGCATAATTCTATATGCAAATGAGAGTTTGGGCCGAGGAAATGTACCGTTAGCTTTGTCAACAAGTGCGTTTAAGTGAATAAGTGCATAATGCATTGCGACAAAATAATAAGCTCAGTAGTTTAGATAACAAAATTTTTTTAGCTAAATCGTAAAAGCGGACTGACACGAATTTCTGGAGTTTTAGAGTTCAGCTGGAATTGAAAGCGCCGCAAACCATCAATGAACCTCCATCGAAATTCCGCTAAACGCTAAGGACACATACGCACGTTCATGTCGAAGCTGAGTGGAGAGTATTGTTATCCAGTTTCATAGTTCTCCAAAGGATCCACCAAGGACTCTGTAATTTGAGAGCATATAATTCGACAAATATAGGTCCTAGGGTGTTCGATTATTCGCTTTTTTTTCTAAAACCGGGTTTCGCGTTATTAGAAAAACTGCAATTTGAAAAAAACCGGTTCTTGGTTTTTAAATTACGAAAAATAAAATGCAAACCAATAAAAAACCACTTAGTGAAAAGTTCACGTTTGGTCTTACTTTTTGTTATAATTTATTGCATTTTTTCTGATTTTATTCGGATTTGAGAAGGGCTCTGCCTCCGTAGCCGTGTGCTTAGATGTGCCTACTGCCATTCAGGAGGTCCATGGTCCCATTTCTGATCCCAGCAACATCAAAAAAAAAAAATGTTATTCATACATATATCGGGCACCTCTAGGCAGACAATGGCAAACCTCCGAGTGTGCTTCAGCCATAAAAAAGCTTCCTCGGAGGTGTAGTAAGATCGCTCCATTTGTGTTACAACATCAAGCTGCAGAACACGAATCGAAGGAGAAGCTCGGCCAAACACGTGGAAAAAGTTTAATCAAATATGATATACTGTTCATATCCATATAACCTAGGTCTTAGGATATAATTTTAAACTGAAAAAAGCCTTGAAAACTTCGAAAAACTGTAAACTTTTATTGAGAGTTCAAGATTTGTATGAAATGAAAAAAACCGGTTTGTTCGATAAAAAAATCTGTTTATTCATTATTCGAAAAATCAAGATTAAAAAAAACTATAGATATCAAAAAAAAAAAACTTTAAATAGAAGAAAATGACAGACGAGAGCGGACAATTTTATAAGAGAAGTTTGTAGCCAACAATCCAAAGTACTACATCCCTATGAAAAAGCATTTGTGTTACAACACTAGGACGCGCACCACAAGTTGGAGGAGAAGCTCGGCCAAACAAGCAGGACCTACGCAGTAGCACCGATGGACAGTTAGTTAAAGAGAAATATGGAAATTTTAAAACCTCTTGGCTATTATTTATTTTATTTTATTGGGTTTTACTTTATATCGTTTAATTTTATTTCATTTCATTTTATGGTCTTATTTTATTTAATTTCATTTCGTTTATTTTTCTTTCAATTTTTATTGTATTTTATATGATTTATTTTTGTATTAGTTCACAGTAACATTCTTTCATAAAATTGTTTCACTTGAAGAAGTTTCACTTTAAATTGAGTAATTAATAAACTAAACAAATGCATTGCTTCATACATTTTCCTTGCATTGCTTTGAAACCATTGCCTTGGGTGGCTAAGGATGCACTGCATCCAGCTCACGGAAGCTTATGCTTTATATAATCATCGCTCAGCTTTTTTGTGTATGTATATGATTGTATGTATGTATGTATGTATGCAAGTATGTGTTTAGTTTGTTAGTATTGCATGCACGTACACTACTAATGCAAATACATATACATACATATTTAATTATTTATATGTACATACATTTATATATTTATTTATTTAGTACACACATTCATAGCAACATGAAACTAATTGCGTTTTCAAGTCTAAAATCGTAAAAAAATTATGTTAATACAATATAAATATATAATATATTTCTTAAAAATTTGTAATGTTTTAAAGTAATGCTTTAAAGTAATTTCGTTTGCTGTTTATGTCTCACATTAAAGTTTTTTTCACATTAAATTGCAATGCTGTTTTTTTTTCTTTTTTAAATCTTAATTTATTATTTTCCCATGTTTTATTAACTATATTAAATTAATATGTCTAGCAGTTTAGCTGTTTTTGTTTATGTCTTCGTGTGTTTTTTTTTTAGTGTTTGTTTTCATTTGTAATGTGAATATGTAGAATAAAACAAATTTTTGCGTTGTTAAGAGTTTTTTTTTATTATTATTAAATATTTCTTTAAGACGTTGCTTGCATTTGCTTATATGTATATGTATTTGTTTTGCTTTGCTCTTCTTTGATTTAATTAATATAGTTTTTAAGTGTTTAGTTTTAATGTGTAAATAAAATATATTGCGATTTGGTTGTTTTTGGTTTTTCGTTTTTGTTTTTGTTTTTTTTTTTTTCAAAGTTACTTGTCGTGTACACTTATGTTGCCAGTTAGTCCCTAAAGATGTGTTTCCTCATAATACTCGTAATGTGTCGTCAACCTCAACATTCCGATAAGTTTAGGTATAATTGTATAAATATCTGTATAATTCATTTATTTAGTTATTTTTTTTATTTAACATTTTACGTTTGTTTGCTTTGAAGTTAAATTTTTTATTTGCGTTGGGCGAGTTTTTGTTTAAGTTTAAATATATTCATTAAATATTTTTGTGATATCTTAATTGTAGTACATTGGTGTGTAGGTGGAGGCGGGCTCAATAAGGATCAAAATTTTTCAATTCAAAATACCTTTTTTTTTTTGTTGCAGTACTTAGACTCCTTGTGCTAGACTTTCTTTAGGAAATGTTAGCATCGACTGATCCATTGGCTGTGATGATAAAATGAAGGGGGAGGTAAGCATCTGTAAAGGACTGAAAGAATGGGAAAACATTTTCGAAGATGGTATTGAAATCTTTAAGAAAAGTTGTAGGGTTGCATTTGGAAACTAAATATTTGGTGTGAATAATTTATTTATCGTAGTTTGGTGTGCAAATCACATATCAGTCAAATGTAAAACCACGTATAAGGTAAATTTCACAAGATAGCAAAAAAAACTTATTTTCCTCAAAACATTTGAATATGAACTTCTACTGTAATTATTTACCAATAAAATTGGGAAATAGGCAAAAATTTAGACGGGATAACGAAAACAATTTTTTTCCTGTGCCACTTCATACGTGGTGTTGCATTTGGCGGATACGAGCTATTGCGCGTCAAGCGACGTTCTGCTTTTGATTCGGATATTCCTAATCGCTTACATTTTAGTTAAAATTTGCAAATAATTTATCACAGCAACATACATAAAATTTACAGAAGTGTCCATAGCCTAACAAATATATTTTTCGCACATTGTCCACTAGGCGTATAAATGAGAAATATTTTAATATTTGTATTTTTTGCTCAGAGAATACTTATCATTTTTTTAGTTGTATTTATTGCCTGGGTAAATAATCGTTATTATCCAAGTTTTATTTTTGCTTAGAAAATAAATGATTTTTTTGGTTTCTTTTCATGCAAACGCACACAGAAAAGGACAAGGATAGAGATAATGGTGGTAATGGCCATGGTATTGGCGACAACTACGTAATGGTAATGGTAATGGGAATAGTTGGTATCTAATGGCAATAGTAGTCGTATTTCTAATGGTAATGGTAATCACAATTGTAATGTCATTTGTCGTTTTTGTGTTAAATTTCGTATTTAACTTCGTAGTCGTGTTCTGATTTGTTTTCCCATACGTCTTCGTCGCCTTATTCGTATTCGTGTTTTTTTATTCTTGTCTTCAGATACTTAATCGGCCTCTTTTTCGTCTTCGCCTTCGTAATAATCGCTTCCATCTTCGTATTCGTCTCGGTCTTCATCCTGGGATTTTCTTTTTGCCTTAATCGGTTCGTCTTGGGATTTGTCTTGGGTTTAGCCTTAGTACATATTAGTCCTTAACCGTACGAGTTTTACATATTTACTTTTAATGGCATTTATTTGGCGATTTTTGAGCTAACTACCGCTCCTTAAAGCGGATTCTCGTTCTAGTTTTAAACTGAAGTTGATGTCGAGTTAAAAGCTCAAAAGTGTTCAGAACTTTTCAAAGTTGCTCTCCCAGAGAGAGAAACACAGCAATAAGCACATGGAAGAAAACTTCTGAACTAGTACGATGAATTCGCCTTTAAGGAAAACACCAAAGGCTACTTTGGCCTTCTAAGCAAAAAAAAAATAAAAATATTCCAAGCTAAGAAAATAACATTTATTTACTAAGCAAAGAAGTAAAAAACTAGAAAAATTGCTATCATTTGTTCAGCAATAAATAAAACTCAATAAATAATCATTAAAAAGTAATTTAAAAAAAAGTTATAACCGTTATGGCCGATTCAAAATTAGGCATTAAAAAATTCCCGCGCCACTACTTTTACAAAAATAGTCATTAATCAACCATTCATATTTTTATTGAGGTAATGAAATTACAAATTTTTAATGCCCACATCTGTCACTAAAATTTTTGGTCATGCAGTGCCCAGTGAAAATCCGTCATTATAACCGCATAAACCAATTCTAACCCACAAAAATACTTCCCACCTAAATGTACTTTCAACTCATAAATACTTATGTATGTGTTGTTTATGTACTTACTCAGCGAATCTAGCCGCCGTAGCGGCTGCAATTGGATTTCGTACCGCATGTAAAGCCTGCGAATTTTTAGCTCTTGCGAGTAAAGTCATAACAGTTCGCTTAGTTGGATTCATAGTTGAACGGGGCACACCTAAAAGTGGACGCTTGCGTGCCAGGCCACCGGCTAAAACGAAAATAGAGAGGAGAACAACATCAATACCGCAAATTATATTTTTCACACCCCTCCCCCCCCATTGTCCCTTTCATCCCTCCACCACACAGTAACTCACCAATATTGATTGCCTTGACACTGCGCAACGCCGGATGCAACAATGCGCTCGTGGGTGGATCCAACAAACCCAATGTGGCTGCCATGGGCGATTCAGCATCGCTCGACAACGGTATGCCCGTAGCGTTGTTGGAGTGTTGCGCCGCCGCCGCCGCTGCTGCTGCTGCTGCCGCTGTGTGTAAATCAGCCACTGCAGGCACACCCGCTGATGTAGTCGCCGATGGCTTCAACAAGTTACCAATACTAGCAGCGGCGGTCAATTGATGTTGTAATGCAACTGTCATGGCAGTCGGATGTACTAGTGGGAAGGAATTCACTTTAATTGCCAAATTATTGTGGTTTCTCACTCAGGTATGTGGTTTGTATGCATATATGACGGATTGTAATGCGCTAACTTACTTGTTGTTGCTGCGCTAGTGACATTCGTTTTCTGACAAAGCCCTCCTCCATCAGTGCTGTTCGGCAAAAGATTGGTGTGATGATGGGAAGCTGCTACGGCGACTGTAGGATTGGGGCCACGTGTTGACGGCGGCGGTTGGTGTAGTAAATGGTGCAAATTGCGTTGTTGTTGTTGGAGTTGTTGTTGTTGTTGGTGATGTTGTTGTTGCTGGTGATGTTCACTACTCAGACTCAACTGTTGTGCATCATTTTTGTCGAGTGTATTGCACTCCATGCCGTTAGGTTCCATCTCCAGCTTATCATCATTCGATGTATCCATATCGGTGACGCCACCACGATTGGGACTATGCTGATCGTCGGTGTAGGTCAGGGATGATGAGGAACTCAGCGCTTGCATTTCCCACATCTGCTCCTGTCGTATGTCGTCGTGATAGTCCTAAAGGGAGTGTGGGGAAGTTTTAGTACAATGGAAGAGCTTTGCTAAATTAAGTAAAATCTAAAAAAATCAACGTTCTATTTGTTAAGCTCAATTATCGGTATCCCAATTGTAGGTCCACTTATTGTGTCCACGGTTGGCCGGACAGCCAGATCAGGCTTAATCATTTATAATTCTAAACACTTTTGGTATGCGGAAAACCAAACAACAAGATTTCAAGAACTATAAACTCACCGGCACCAAAAACCGCCTCACTTCAGCCAACGCATATGCTATGCGTGCATGTGCTTCGGCGGGCGCAGCAAATGTTGAAATTTCTACATGCAAATCCTCGAATAGATGGGCATACCGACTATCACCACTGGCGCGTAATTCTTCTTCTTTTTTGCGATCGCGCATCGACCCGCGACCCAACACTGCCATCTTACACATTGTCTCCTCCTGCAAACGTTTCATAGAATTTCCTTTGGGCCCCAATAATTTGCCGACGAAATTGAACTGAGAGGCAATTAACCGAGGGAAAATTAGTTAAATAAAATGGAAAAAGTAGCTTTTGTATAGATAGGCGTAGTTTTGTTCTATTAGTCGTATTTACCTTTGGATGATCTCGCACTGGTACAGCCACCTTAACAGCTACTTTAACCGGTCTGTCTCGTGTGATGTCTAACATTTTGAGTTTTTCTGAAAATAAATGAATATGTTTGCGTGCACATTAGACCACTTTACAAGCAAAAAAACAAAAAAAAGAGTTCGCCGCACGCCGCTGAGTGTAAAGGACCTAACCTAGCCTAAATACTTCCTTAGAAGGAGTTTAACGTTTTTTGGTAAGCTTTAATTTACAGACAATTTACAATTAACATTATAGTGATAAAAACTGGAATCTGTTGAGTAAGTACCAGAACCGGAGTACTTGAGATCAATAAACTTTGAAACAAAACAACACTCCTACGCACTATGGTCTTGCGACTATCATTTGCTGGCCAAAAGTCGAGAAGTAACCAAATTGATTTGAAACATAGTTTATGAGGTCGCTGGTTTCGAATATGATGTCAGATTTTCGAAATTCAAAATGGCGGATCCAATATGGCGAAATTGGAAAAAATAAAAATTGTTGCCACTTTCTTTCTTAGTAAATTTGTTTGCTTCTCGGAGCATTGGTCCATCCTTTGCAAGGCCCGGTAATCAAGGGTTGTGCTGCTAAGTTGAGCGAATGTTGCAAAAGCTGCTATTCAATAACTTCTTTTGTATGGAAAAAGGGTTCACATGCAAAGAGATTTTAACAACTTAGAATTTTTGTGAGAAGAAATTAAAAATATTTGACGTTTTTGAGACCAAATAATTTGAAAAAAATCAAATCAGCTGCGCTACTGATACTACCTGTTCAATGTGCCTTGGTACATACTATGTACTTCTAGAAAAACAAAACTGAAGGAAAATTAAAATTCTGACACCATATATTAAGTACGCCTTGTGTATTAGTTTATGTCTGCTTGGCAACTGCCTTTATTATTGAAAACATGCGAGGACATTGATCTTCCAAAATCAAGTGGCAAGCGTCATTTGCGAAACCATGTTTGAACTGTCTGAACATATATTCTATTCCATAGATCTATGCTTCGTGATTTCCAACATTTTCCCCGCCTAATTTTTGCTGTCGATCAGCGATCGCTTTATAATTTTTTAGTTTAGATGTTGGCTGAGTTCGGGATTCAAACCAGAGTCCCACTGAATAATAGTGGCTCGGCGTAAAAAATTTAAAATTTATACATACATACATATCTAGTTGAATGACTTACCCATACTTTTTGTTGAACGATCCTCTAATGTGCTCATATTTGATTTTGAAACTAGCTCCATAATGTCTGATGCTGCAAAATAGCTGCGTGTAAGAAATAAAATATTTAAAACAACATACATATGTAAGTGCCCGTTAATAGAAAAAGCATCTACATATATACATATATAGATGTACCAGTATTTTACAGGAAATAAAGAAAGATATATATTTTGTGTATTGACATTTAATTGATCTCTTTGATTTGACATTTTAATCGAGCCAAAAGATCACATCAGTGGAAGAGTACAAGGTTTCACTTACTGACTAACAAGGCATCAGGCATATACAAAGCATCAGTCGCTTTTATTTAGAAACCTCAGTAGATTTCAATGCCAAATGTGCGCAGCCACGATTAGATGCTAGTTTTCTACTAGGTTGCGCAAGTTAGACTTTTTCTTCTAATGTGATTTATAAATAAAAGATGCAGATGCTTTGTATTTTGACTTTTTTTTTGGAATGCACTCAAACTTATTCGACGATTTAAATAGGGAATTATGGACGCACAAATGCGAGTCCATAGAGACGCTGCTTTAGGACTCCTGTGCCCATAAAATTTTATCAAAAGAATAAGGTCTCTTAAGAAGGCACCTGACACCTTCACAAACCATAACAACGATACACTGAACCATCAGGCAAGTGTTGGCAATCTTTGCGTACTTATTTGCTTATAAGGACAAAAATCGAAAAATGGCACCCTTCCCGCCGCAAACACGCATAATGCCTTCTCTACCCAACGATTAATGTCTCTTGGCAAGAAATGCATCATAAATTTGCCATTAAATGTACTAATAAATTTTTAACATCGTTTTAGTTTTTACTTTTGCATTTCAATAAAGCAAGACCGCGATGTTTGCTGTTAGTTAAATGAATTTTTATGATCGCCCACACATATGAATATATGAGCTAAATATACATATCGCCACCTAAAGGTGAAAAGATGCCAAGTCCACTCTTTTCAAAATTTATTTTTTGATGCAGAATGACAGTTAATGCGAAACTACATCTATTTTTCGTCTCTCCTGAACAATTTCAAAAAAAGTGGACTTGTCACCTTTTCACCTTTAGGTAACGATATGTATATTTGGAGGTAAACATATAGTACTTATGTACATGCATATGTTTCAAATAAACTCATTGCCGTATAATTGAGAAAAAATAAAATTAAATTTACTTGCCATTTTCGTCTTTCTGTAAATAATTTCTCTGTACGCCTGTGCACTAAATTTAATTATAAACTTTTAGCGTCATTTCCGCAAATTAAACGAAATACGAGTATTGAATTAAGTCACACATAATTGTGCCTATATTTTTGCATGTATACATACGTATGTATGTATGTTAACAAGCAAAACTGTTGCATTTTGGGATCGGAAAACCCGCACGTGATCATCCAGAAGCGAATGCATCATCAGATAATGACAGTTTGGTGCGGATTTCGGAATGGTGGCATCATTGGCTAATTTATCTTAGAAAACGTCATTTCGGTCAGCAGTGAGCGCTACAGAGGCATTATGAATACATGGACTTGGACGAGCTTTCTGCACGCACAAGATGTGCAAGATTTGATTTTGAACATGAAAATTATATTTTGAACATGAGATGTTTAAAGTATACACAAAAATATATACATGAAGTGTTTAAAACTGCAAAAAATTGTAAAGTAAAAATATTATTTTTTTTTTAATAATAAACATTTAGTGCTCATATTTACTCAATTTTAAACATTGTGTGTGTAATTTTGCTTTACGCGACAAGTTTGGTAGCATGTAAAAGTAAACAGCCACTTTTTAATTTTATTACATTAGGAGAGGAAACTGGTTACTTCTCTTTATATACGTAAATTTAAGCAAAAATTGGTTAGAGCAAATTTTAAACATTTTATGTGTAAACTGTGAAATTGTGAACAATAAATGTTTAGAATTCAACAAAAAATTTCAAATTTTTTCTTCGCCACACATATGATAAGTAAATGTAAACAAGCAGTGTTTAATTTAATTAAAACGGTATGTAAGTTTTCATTCATTAAGAGAGGACACTGGTTACCTATCTTAATATGCGCAAATTTAAACACATTTTCTTTTAGAGTGTATATTTACTTGAGGTAACAAAACAATTTGAAGTATAATTATATTAAAAAAGTATTTATGCAAATTTAAATAATTGCTGAATCTAATATTTATTTCTTGTTTTGTTTTCAGTAACTACATTACGAAAACGCGTCTGGGTAGTTCAGAACGAAGGCGTATTAAGCTAAAGATTTATTCAGACAACTATAAGAAAAACATAATTTTGGAGTTAATCGATGTGTGCACTGAACGGCTTATATATCGGATGTACACTTTAGTTGGAAAACGTATCGAAAATACCAACGAAAATGGCATCAGATAACGGATGAAACATCCGATTTTCATACGGAATCTTTTCCCATTTCGGATACGTTTACGGATATTTGGTTGGCTGGGGTGTATTGCTTCATAGTTACATACATATGTACAAACATATGTACGTACATACGTGTATTTTTTTAACTTTACCAGCATACACGTTTATAATAATTCTAACAACTTTTCAAATTAAAATTGCAATTTTCAAGGTGTCAATTCTCAAAGGACACTTCATTAGAAAATTACTTCTACTACATGCATGTCGCTTGGCAAGGTCATAGAATATATTTTACAACTTGCTTTCCACTTTAGAAGAATCACATTAAGCTTGCTACTAAATTCTACATACATATGTACATTCATATATACGGAAATATGCCGCTGTATATACATACATACATACACACCATATGTATACTTATTTATACTACTTTAATATTTACAGCATCACTTAGCGAAACGTGAATATGCATTTATTTAGCAATTTCACTAACGGATAATTAAAAAATGAATAAATTAATAGCGCCATAAATATTTGTTGTGCGAACATGCATACAGATGTAGATATCTTACATAACTACAAACATATGTTTTGCTGTGTGAAATATGATAAATTTGCAATTAAAAACACTGAACAAGTTAATAGAGCACAAAAACCAACACGTACGTTCGTTATCTATGCAAATGGAGCAAAGTAAATACATATCTGTAGATGTATTTTATTTAGGTAACATTTTATGTATGTTTGTGAAAATATATACTTACATATGAATATACATACATAGCTATGTACATTAGACAGATTCAAAAAAAAAAAATTATAATAATTTTATTTCCAGAAAGACTTGTGCGAAGCTCTTAATATTAAAATTGAAAGGTCGCTCATGGCGAATTTTTATTTTCCATATAAATAACACAGGATTTTTTTTACACATATTTTGAAATTTTACAACTCGTTTATATGTATGTAAGTAAGTCAACGTATCGGAACGAGCGATAGATTTTTAGATATTAATTTTAGGCTATAAAAAGCGTCTTATGAATTCTTCAAAAATTCATTCCTCCAGAAAAGGTCAAAGTCGGACATATAAAAAATTTAATGTTAAAAAAATCATGCGGCAAAATGTTAATACTTATCACTACATATCGTAAAATTTTCTTTGGAAATTTTACATGTTCTAATTTTCTTTCATTTAACAATTTCTGAATAGTTAAACTTTATAAAGTGTGTATCACAATTATACGCCACCCACATATTGGCAAGTTTTTACTACTAAAATTTGTTATTATTTAATTTAATTATTTTTCTAAAAAAATTATAGTTTATTCTTTAAACAAAAACTGTATACATCAAAGTTTCTAACTTTGTGCAAAATTAAAAAAAAAAAATCACAAACTTTCATAAATATACAAGCTTTTTAATTCGATTTCTTAGAAAAATTTTGAGTATTCATTAAATTTTAGTATAATAAAGTGCAAGTTCGAAGTAGCTTAGACTTACTGTTGATTTTTGACAAATTTTTCGTCCATACGAAAAAATCACCTTTTTAAAGATGTTAAACTTGATAATTTAATAATTTAAGTTGAATGATATTTCTCAAAGAAAATTTAATATTATAAAATTATAAAAAAAATATAAAATTATAAAAAAATTATGAAATTTAGTGATACGCCGAAAATTTAAAAAAAGGTTAAATTTTTATATGTTTAACTTTAACCTTGAGCAGTGATTTTATGGAAAAATTATGACACTTTCCCAGCCTTCCTTCAAAAATTTACCTTGACTTATAGCCGCAGTTAAGAGCTCAGTTCAAATAATTCCAACATGGGGTGATCGGAAAGGTTTTTTTCTTAAACTGTAGTTAAGGCTTGGTGGAAATCAACTATTAAAAACGAGTTGTAAAATCTTAGAAATTAAAAAAAATAAAATAAATTTGCCTTTGTTATTTACATATGTATGTACGTTTATGGATATGGATATGGTCGCAATGACCGACCTCCAAAGCTTAATATTAGGGGCTGCGCTTTTGAAACGCGTATTTTTCGCTGTCCCGAAAATATTTCACAAAGGATTTTGAAAAGAAATAGAAAATTCTTTTGAACCAGTCTAATGTACATACATATGTACATATGTAAGTATATACATTTGTACAACGAGTAAGTAGTAAAATTTAAACACAAATAGTGCTCTATATATGTATAAACATGCATATAATCAACTAGTTAAATTCCGCTTAAGGGTTTTAATAATTTCCACTTGTTGTATTGCATCGTAATTATGCTCTTAAATAATGAATTGAAAGAGAGACAATTCGTACAATATGTACACTTGAAAACAAATAAGTATTTATCTTTGCATGTAAATAAATACGTCAACCACACTTACTGTAGTACAGACAAAATTAACTGTGTTAAGAGTAATGTATTAAAATAATTTTCCAACTCATATACAAATAAGTATGTAATGAGATCGAAAATTTATTCATTCTAACCCGAGAACTAAGTGATAGTAGAGCAAGAGTTCAGCTACATATATAAACGTGTATAAATTTTATTGCAATCATGCAATGCAGAAATATTAAAAAATATATATATACGAGCACATTAGGGTGATCCTTAAATGTAGGAAGCAAATTTTTACATCAGATTTCCTAAGCC